GAACTTTTCAGTTTGTGTGGCGTACCTAGTTAAGCCACCACTTTGGATGCCCATATCCCATATCGGAGTGCCAGTTCTAGTTCTGGCTACTTTACTTCTGGTCCAGCTTCCTGCTGGTGCATCCTGGAGAGGCAACAGAAGATGGCCCAAGTACTCAGGTTCCTGCCATTCATGTGGAAGACCTGGACAGAGTTCCAGGTTCCTGGCTTCAGTGTGGCCCAGCACCAGCTATTGCTGGCATTTGGGGAATAAACCAGTAGATGAAAGATCTCTCTCCTTTTCTCTCTGTTGCTCTGCCCTTCCAATAAGAGGAAATAAGTAAACATTCAAGAAAAATTGAGAGGAAAGAGCATTCCTTTAAGTTTCCTGTTCCCACAAATGCACAAGTCCCCCTCTTTCTAAGGACCCCCCCCCATCAGAGTGGTATATTCCTTACAGTTGGTGACCCTGCATTGACACACTGTCACCTGAGGTGGGAGTTCACATTAGGGCTCAGTCTTGGTGCTCTACATTCGTATGACGACGTGTCCACTATTACACAACCACGCAGCGTGTTCTCCCTGCCTTGAAGATCCTTTGGGCTCTACCCATCTGCTCCTTACCCCCCATTCTCTTTTCCTCTGGCAACCACTGATCTTTCCAGGACGTCCAATAATTGGATTACACAGTGTATAGCCTCTTCAGCTGAACTTCTTTCACTTACTTATGTATGCTAAGTTTCTTCCATTTTTTTCCTGACTTGATAGCTTTTTTTTTTTTTTTTTTACAAAAGATTTATTTTATTTAAGAGGCAGAGTCACAGAGAGAAGGAGAAACAGAAAAGAGATCTGCCATCTGCTAGCTCATTCCCTAAATGGCCACAATGAAGCCATTAGCTTTTTCTGGGTTTCCCCTGTGGGTGCAGGGGCCCAAGCACTTGAGCCATCTTCCACTGTTTTTCCCAGGCCCATTAGCAATGAGCTGGATTGAAAGTGAAATAGCTATGTCTTGAACCAGCACCTATATGGGATGCCAGTGTTACAGGCAGTGGCTTTACTCACTATGCCACAATGCCAGCCCCAGTAGCTCACTTTTTATAATAAGGATTTTAATTTTCAAAGTATTTTAAAATTTATTTTGAAAGAGTTACAGAGAGTGAGAGAGATCTTCCATCTGCTGACTTATTCCCAGATGACTGCAACAGAGCTGGGCCAGGCCAAAGCCAGGAGCTTCAGCTGGGTCTCCCATGCAAGTAGCAGGGGCCCAAACACTTGGACCATCTTCTGCTTTTCCCAGGTGCGTTAGCAAGGAACTGGATTGGAAGTGGAGCAGCCAGGACATGAATAGCACCCATATGGGATACTGGCATCACAGGTGACATGTTAGCTCCTATGCCACAACACTGGCTCCTTAATTTTTTAAAACAAATTTATTTATTTGAGAGAGAAACCTTCGATTTGCTGGTTCAATCCCCAAATGACCACAATAGCTGGGGCAGGCTGAAGCTGGGAGCCTGGAACTCCATCCAGGTTTCCCTCATGGGTGGCAGGAACTTGAGTACTTGAGCCATCATCTGCTGCTTCCCAGGTATATTTGCTGGGTGTCTACTATGGGATTCAGGGATCCCGAGCAGTGACTTAATGCTGTCCCACAACACTGGGTCCTGAATAATTTTCGTGTGTGTGTGTGTGTGTGTGTGTGTGTAAGTTGCTTAGTCAGGCTTAGGCCAGGCTAAAGTTGGGAACATGGAATTCAGTACAGATCTCCCACATGGGTAGACAGGACCCAGGTATTTGAGCCATCACCACTGTCTCCCAGGGTATGCGTTAACAGGAAGCTTGAATCCAAAGTGGAGCCAGGACTTGAACTCAGGATCTCTGATAAGGGATGCAGCCATCCTGAGCAGTATCTTGACCACTGCCTCAGATGCATGCCTCATTTAGTGCTGAGCATTAATTCCAAAAGTAACCCCCTTTTGTACTGAGCATTTTTCATTAACTATTGTGCATCACCAAACACCACTGTCCTGTATCCAGGGGCCTTGTAGTCCAGCGAAGGAGACAAAGGAGGTGCAGTGAGGTAGGATAACTGCCTGAAAAGGAACAAACTCGGGCAGTGGGAACATGTAGGCCCATCTGAGACAGGAGCGCCTGCAGTGCACCCTTCTTTCCTTGAGGTGGTGAGGATGCAGGCAGAGAATTGTCCCTGGCTTAGATACTGTGTGCAGTTAGCAAGATGGGCTAGTTGGTACCCAGGATATAGCAGAGATAATGTGACCTACTATGTGATCAGACGCTAGGTTGTGAGCCGGAAGGAGCACTGCATCTTCTTTGTCTCTTTCCTGGGACTGCAGGACTCTGGAACACGGAACAGTTGTGTTTAATGATGCACAGTAATTAGGATGAAAAATGCTGAGTAATACCGTTCAGCATCCAGTGACTTCCTGCTCAACTACCTGTTTGAGAAGAGGTGGAAATGACAGAATGAACAGTTGGAAAGTGTAGTACACACTTCTTTTTAACACTTTGATGTTACAAGATCTAAGTCTCATGCAAGACTGCTAGGCATACAAATCCGCAGAGTTTTTTGGGAAACGTTTAGCCTGATAAGATCTAAAAATTTTAAGTGAACACACCTTTGACCAAGAAATTGCACTTAGAAAAATCTGCTGTTAAGGCCATATTTTCATGTAGTCTTAAGGATTTATTATTAAATAGTTTGTGGTGTGTTCATTTATGGACTTGGTTTTAGATTTAGCAAAAACACCCACCATTGACTAATATACCCAGTACTGAACTACATGTTTGACATACACCAATCTAGTGACAGTGCTTTGTGGGCGTACTCTTAAGTCAGTTCCATGTTACTGATGAGGAAACACACAGAGTTGAACTTGGCCAGTGATGTAGCTAGTAAATGGGGAAGCTAGCAGTGGAACTCAGTCTGGTTCCATGGTCTTACCATTAGACTGCTCAGTGATGACAAAGCATTTGATAGACTCAATGTATGTGCCTTGCATGTGTGTAAGACTAGTGAACAAATTGAGTTGATGCCATGCTTCACAGAAGCAAAGCTCTCCCCCTCGCCTCCCCTCCCTCTCTCCGTCAGTTTGTACATATGCATTCAGCATATATAAATACGTGGGTGTATGTCTCAAACTAGAACTGATGTTTGCCTCTGGGGGGAGGAGAGAGAGAGGGGAGTGAAGAGACCTTTTCCTGTTTTCACTCCTATATTACTAAATTTTATTCTAAGAGAGTTGTGCACTAAAACACAGTAGAGGTTTTTTGTTTCAGGAAGAGAAAGAGATGCAGCACATCTCAGTTAAGACTTACCTTGGTAGTCTCCGTTTCCTTGACTTGTCCCCAGCTCTGGACTCAGTGGAATCTTAGGGCCCTTACCTCAGTGAGATAGTGGAGGCAAAATTCCTCCCCCCTACAGATTCCCATCCTCCCTTATCTCCCCAGTCAGCAGCAATAAATCTACCATTTCTTTTCATTAGGTTGAACTGCTCCATATGGGTCCATGCTCTACAGCATTGTGTGGTAATGAATGAGCTTATTTCCTTTGAATGTACTCTGGTTGCAGTTTTGTGAAGGTCACATTATTTTTAATTATGCAGTTCAGTAAGAGTGTGGACATCCAGGGGGGAAACAGAGCTACTCAGGTGACATTCAGCCAGATTGCATCCTGGATTGTGCACCTGACTGTGTGGCTTTAGCCAGCGGGCTTCATGAGAGACCTGATTCCCAAGGAGGAAAGGAAAAGCATGGTAGGTTTGGGAAAATCATCAGAATATTCTGGAGGACACTAAAATAAGTTTGTTACTGTGCAAATTCTTTAAAGGCTTAATGAGGATGTTGCAAGCTGCCAGTCTGGGTAAACAGACTTGAGGGGCCAGTGCTGTAGGTGGTGTAGTAGGTTAAGCCTCTGCCTGCGGCATCAACATTCCATATGGTTACCAGTTCCTGGGCTGCTCTTCTTTCGATCTAGCTCTTTCTAATGGCCTGGGAAAGAAATGTAAGATAGCCCAAGTGCTTGGGCCCCTGAACCCACTTTGGAGACCTGGAAGAAACTCCTGGCTTCAGATTGGCCCAGCTCTAACCATTGCAACCATTTGGGGAGTGAACCAGTGGATGGAAGACCTCTGTCTGCAACTCTGCCTCTTAAATAAGGGAATAAATCTTAAAAAGAAAAAGTGAAAGATTGCAAGTCATGTCAGAGACTCTGTCCAATCATTGAACTCTGAGTGTCTACTGTGATTTTGTCATTCTGGCAGAAAGAATATACAGATAGCCTCCTAGAACCCTAGTCTGCAAATAGGCAAGGTTGGTGTGCTCAGAAAAGCTCAGTGTTGTCAACCAAAAACAGTCTGAAATTTATTTTGGAAAATTATCTACAAAAATTGTATATGTGGTAATCCTTAACCAATTAAAAAACAAACATGGGCACATGGAAATTTTAACACATTTACTTGAGCAGACATGTTTAGTACTCCACTGAAGGGAACACTCTACAAGTTGTTCTCTGAGAGCAAAACAAATGCGAGTGATTGGTTAATGTGGAAAGTTCCTGGTTTAGAGGTTGGTTTGGAGGCTACTGATTGCTTATGTAGGAACCCAAGGTGCTGCAGCTGTCTCTGCCTAGGCCCCCTAATTCATTATGTTTACCACTGTGAAGACTTCTGCTTTGGTATCCACATCACCTTTATATTCAGTGTCCCAATTCTGCTATAAGGCATGTGTATTAATAGTCAGCAGCTCCTGCTCACTGCTGGATTGTGAGCTGCTTGAAGCCAAGGAGACTGCTGGGTAACAGCTTCCTTCAAGGCCTAGGGCACATCCTCCATATTGTTAGGTGCTATGGAAAGATTTGTGAAATTGAACGAATATTAGATAACTAAATATCATGAGGCACATTTCTCTGTTACTTCCTTTCCAGGAACATGTTATATAAAGATTGTGATAAGTAAGTTCACTGTGTGTATAGGATAAAACCCTCTCAATCTTCTTGTTAAATAGGAACTCTCCAAGATCACGATGCCAGTTATATTTAATGAGCCGTTGAGCTTCCTGCAGCGACTAACTGAGTACATGGAGCACACTTACCTCATCCACAAGGCCAGCTCCTTTTCTGATCCGGTGGAAAGAATGCAGGTTTGTGTCTGCAACCCCAGGACAGGTTTATATCTTAGAGATTTCTCTGCCACCTCCTATCCCCAAGCCACAGGCACAATGAGTGTGAAGTCCAGCTCGAGGTCAGACAGTGTTCTCAGAGCCTCATCGGCTTGTTTGGAATGCCCTCTGGGGCTATCGCTAGCCTGAGCGCAGCATTAGGGGAATTGATGGGAATTGCTGGAGAAGGAGAGGGGGTTAGAGCCAACCAAGGTATCAGGAGCTCTTTCTCCATTTTAGAAAGTACTGTTGTGCTAGAGGGAGAATTCAGCATTGCTTCTTGCAGATTTCCTCAGTGTGTATCCAAGGCACAAATGAACACACACAAGTACCTGTATCTATGCCTGGGTCTGTATAAATCTGCACACAAACATTGATACATATTAAAAGACAGCAAGGTTGAACTTCTTGATTTTCTTTTAAATAGAAGATGTTTATACATGGATGAACAAGATCCTGGCAGAGTACAGAAGACACATTGTTCTCTTTCCAACAAAGCAATACCATTCTAAATGGAATCTTTCTATTCTTTCATTTATATAAATCAACCTTTTCCAACTTTGTTGAACTGGACGCAATTACATTTAGTTTATGTCTCTCTTCCCCATGACTGAAACTCTTGTGCCTTTTTAAAAAATTTTAAATGACTTAAAAAGCAACAAGCAACTTTGGGCTTCAGAATTGTGTAAAAAAAAAAAAAAAAAAGTCCTTGAGAGATTCTGTGGCACTTGCAGGGTGTTACAGAAACCACATTTGAGAATAATGCTAAAGGAAGAGATTCAGAAGTCATTTTCATTCTGAATGTCCAAGCTGCTGTATTAAGTTGCTAGAGCCATTTTAAGACCCAAAATAATTTTGTAAATGACTGTTTTCAGCAAAATTTCAGTTCCTGAGGAGTGAAGAGCAAGCAAGGCTATTTGTAACTGGTTCACTGCTCTGTCCCCCAGTGCGTGGCTGCGTTCGCCGTGTCTGCTGTTGCATCCCAGTGGGAACGCACCGGGAAGCCCTTCAACCCGCTCCTGGGAGAGACCTACGAGTTAGTTCGGTGAGGTCCTAACCTCTGGATGGTTGGGTTTGCGTGACTTCCGTAGCTCCTCAAGTGAAGAGGAAAAATCTGTGTCATGAGCATCACCAACTATGATTACTTATGATGGGAGCAAGTTAATAGTTTTGTTGTTTGTTCCTATGATGCTTATTATTTTAGCGACCCTGTCCAAAAGACTGAAATTTACATATATTGTAGCTTTATAAAAAGAAACTTTAAGGATTTCAGTATTCCTGATCATGTGGCATTAAACAGCCTCTTTCCCATTGTGTAGCTCATGTGACATGGAGTTTTCAATAACCATATAAAATATATTAGCATAAGTATGGCATAAAGCTATACTTATAGGAGTACACCTACAAGTACAGTTCTGTTTACCTTCATTAGCCTGCTTCTTGTTGATATGCAATTAGAAGACTTGATTTGGCTTTAGTTTTTCTGAATCTTCTTCCTGTTCTCCATACAGATTTTATCACGTTTATTCCCTGGTTGTTTGAAAGTGAACACACCAGGCTTCGCTGTCTTAATGTCAAATTATGAGTTTACATGGCTAATATTGCTGCTTCAGGTAGATGACTGAAATTCGTGTGTTGCTATATTTTAATATGTTCAAGTAACTAGAGTTATACCACTGGATTTAGTAGTTTGGATTAAGTTTGGGCAGTGTTTCATACATTAAGGTCTTTCATCAGGATGTTGATAAAGAATTAATTGTTTACTGCGTTGAACCTGTTTGTTTAATGCTTTCATGTTGCTTTTTTGAACTGAAATATCAGCAATATACTCATTCAATGATAGAACTAATTACAATACTGCCTCTAATTCTTTTTTTCTTCTTCTTTTTTTTTAATTCTAAGGGATGACCTTGGATTCAGACTCATTTCCGAACAGGTCAGCCATCACCCACCAATAAGTGCATTTCACGCAGAAGGATTAAACAATGATTTTATCTTTCATGGCTCAATCTATCCCAAACTGAAATTCTGGGGGAAGAGTGTGGAAGCGGAACCCAAAGGAACCATCACCTTGGAGCTCCTTGAGTAAGTCAGAGTCAGTCCCTTTAGTTCTTCTCCCGTGTACCTGCTGGGACGTGTAGGTGGATGCACTTGCACACAGGCCTGACCTTGGTGTGGAGAAAAGGAAAGAAACAGCATTTCTTTCTTTTTTTAAGTTTTATTTATTGGACTAGCGCTGTGGCACAGTGGGTTAAAACCCTGGCCTGCAGCACCAGAATCCCATATGGACACTGGTTCAAGTCCCAGCTGTTCCACTTCTGAGCCAGCTTCCCGCTAATGCCCCTGGAAAACAGCGGTGGATGGCCCAAGCCCTTGGGCCCCTGCACACACATGGTCTCCCAGAAGAAGCTTCTGACTCCTGGCTTCAGATGGGCTCCGTTCCGGCAGTAGATCCAGAAGAATCATTCACTCCCCAAATGGCTGCAGTGGCTGGAACTGGTCCAATCCGAAGCCAGGACCTAGAAGTTCTTCTGGGTCTCCCACACAGGTGCAGGGGCCCAAGCACGTGGGCCATCTTCTACTGCTTTGCCAAGCACATTAGCAGAGAGCTGTATTGGAAGAGGAGCAGCCAGCTCACAAACTGGCCGTATGGGATGTTGGCACCGCAGGCAGAGGTTAACCCACTACGCCATAGCACCAGCCCAGAGAAACAGCATTTCTAAAGCATTAGTTATCTACCTCTGTGTGAAAGGACTTGAGAGACGAGGCAGTAGGCATTACTAATCAATCTCTGGATGTCGTAGGAAGTTTGCTTGATGTCTGATCATGGTGTTTAGATCTGTTTTAAGATAAAGGGATTAGTCATTCTGTGCTGGTGGTTATGAAGCAAATTTCCTGTTTGTCAGGGTACCAACGTTTTGTTTAAATATGTTTCAAAATGAATTCACCTCACAAGATGTCAAAATGACAGTTGTGTGGCACAGACTAGACACCAGGTAGTTGGGAGTCCTCTTGGTAAAATTGGCTTTAAATCTCAAGGCACTTCCAGTTAACTCACAGCAAACAACCCAGCCCTATTTCTTCAGTGCTTACACCTGGAAACTCTGGATGGAAGACACAAAGCCACACCACGAGGACTCGGAAAAGTAAATAAAGGCAGGCAGAGTGGGAAGAGAAATCAAACCCTGGAGACCAGTGTGACAGTGATTCGTGATTCCTGGCTTCATGTGTTTCTCTCATGTCTTCTGTCTTAGAGTCAGAGAAGAAGGCAGAACTGAGTGGTGGAGGCAGGCAGAAAAGGTTCCAAGAGAAACCCTCTCTCTGTCTCTCTCTGAGCAGAGGACCTGGACAGATAGATGTACAGGATGCAGATAGTGGGATACATCCTGTTTCATTTTATCTCCCAGCTTCGCTCCAAAGCAAGCTCTGCAGCTATACTCCTACAGTAGTGCTGGCGGCAGCAGCCACACAAGGACCTAAAACTCACAGAAACTGTGTAAGAGAGGAGAGGGACTGGGCAAAGGGGCCCTTTTGGTCCAGAGTACAAGAAGGATACCTGTTCTTTTTCTTTTCTCTCACCTCTTTGACCCAAAGGAAGACCTCATTGTGGGAAGTACAGCTCAGCAGAGAGGCTCCAATCTCAGCGTGCCAGTCAGGGGGCAGAGGTAGGGGCTCTCTTAAAAGGATAGGGAAAACCACAATGAGGAGGGCACTGAAGAAAGGGACCCCAAAACCCGTGTATGAATTCCTGAGCTCATCCCTGCACTCGTGCACTGAAATGACCCGGAACAGGGCGTACCCCATGGCCTTGAGACCCAAATGAATCTGTGGCCCAAGGTCCAGGCCCCTGGGCAGCTGTGAAAAGTGAACTCACACTGGAATGAAAGCTTGAAGAAGGAGGGGCAGGACTTGCCTAAAGCTGTGAACTCCTTACTAAAACGAAATTAAGAAAATCAGCATTCCCAGAAGATCTCAACACAAAGTGCTAGAATAAGATTCCAGTGTCTAGAATACAGCCCGAATTATCTGGCATGCCAGTAAAGAGAAGCATCTCAGCTACTTGCCATGAAGAGGTAACCAGCAGACTCAGACCCCAAGATGACTCACTTACTGAAAGATTTCTGTCAAACATTTTAAAGCATTTTTAAGTGAATAGGAAGACATTCTATCAGAAATAAAAGATTTTCTGGAAATTATAGCACTTAAAAATATAGCAGTGAAGATACAACAAGTGTAAGCTTAATAGCAGAAAGGAGATGACAAGATATGTAAAAGATCTTTGTACTGGAAACTACAAAATACTGCCAAAAATAATCACAAAATACCTGAGTAATGGAGAGACTCACCATGTCACAGTATAAGGGCATTTGGATCCTCAGTGGAGTTAAGATGTCATCTCTCCCCTGATTGGCTTATAAGCAGTTTTTATTCACACAGTTGGAGTCAAAATCCCAGGATGATTTTTTCATAGATTGAAGTTAATTCTAAATTAAGACAGAAAGGTAAGTGTAATAGAACATCCAAAAACAGTTTTGAAAAGGAAGAACAGAACCAATAGCCAATGAATGAAAGACAAGCTATAGACTAGTAAAAATTATTTTCAGATCCTGTATCCAACAAAAGATTCATATCCAGAATACATAAAGAAACCTCACAGTCAGCATTGAGAGAAGCAGTGCATTAACAAAGTAGCCAAGGGGCCGGCGATGTGGTACAGTGGGTTAATGCCCTGGCCTGAAGCACCGGCATCCCATATGGGCGCTGGTTCGAGACCCGGCTGCTCCACTTCTGATCCAGCTCTCTGCTATGGCCTAGGAAAGCAATAAAAGATGGCCCAAGTCCTTGGGCCCCTGCACCTGCATGGGAGACCGGAAGAAGCTCCTGGATCCTGGCTTCAGATCGGCCAGCTCTGGCCATTACAGCCATCTGGGGAGTGAACCATAGGATGGAAGACCTCTCTCTCTCTGCCTCTCCTCTCTCAGTGTAACTCTGATTTTCAAATAAATAAATAAATCTTTAAAATCCTTCCTTTAAAAAAAAAGAAAAGAAAGACAAAGTAGCCAAAAAAGGTGTGAAAAGATACTTCACCAAAAGAGATGTGTGGATGGCAGGTAAGCAAATGAAAAGCTGCTCAGGAGCATTCATTGCTAGAGAATGAACAATTAAAATCTCGAGAAGATACCAGTACCGACTGATTAAAGTGGCTAAAATCAAAACAACTTCTAAAACTGAAAGTACCAAGTGTCGACAAGGATGTGGAGCAGCCAGAGGTCTCATCTGTTGGTGAGAATGTACAGTGGTAACACCACTGTGGAGAACAGTTTTGTGGTTTCTTTTTTTATTATTATTTTAACATTTTGAACAACAACTAAATTAGTTGAAAGGTAGAGGGAGCGAGAAACCAAGATTTTCCATCTGCTGGTTTACTTCCTAGTTAGCCACTATGGCCCGAGCTGGGCCTAACCAAAGCCTAGAGCTCAGAATCCCACCCAGGTCTCCCAGGTGGGTAGAAGGGGCTCAAGCACTTGGGCCATCTTCTGCTGTTTGCCCAGGGGCATTAGCAGGGAGCTGGATGGGAAATGGCAGTGGCTTAACCTTAACCCTGGTGATTTCTTGTCAACTTAACCGTATATGTTTACTACATAACTCAGCAACTCTACTTTTACACATTTGCCATAGAGAAATGGAAACCTAGGTTCACACAGAAACCATGTACCCTTGTTTATGGTGGCATTGTTCATAATCACTGAAAACAGCCCAGATGCCCTTCAGTGGTTAAAGAGTTAAACCAACTCTGGTGCTTCCTGTCTGGTAGAGTACTACTCCACCATAGGAATGAATTACTGATGCACAGAACAGCATGAATGAGTCCTAAATGCATTACTCAGATTGAAGACACTGATCTCTTAAGGTTATGTGGTGTACCATTCCAGTCGAATAGCATTCTGAGGAAGGTTCAACTGTGGCAGAGGAGAACAGATGAGTTGTTTGGGGTTCAGGGATGAGTGAGAGATTCAGAGGTTAGGAATGGAGGATCGAGTGACTACCCCAGGGAAGCAGGAGTGGATCTGGGGACTAATGAAGTCGTGTCCTATCCTGCTTGTGTCCTTGGTGGTTACACAGATCTTTCCGAGCACTAGAACTCACAGGAATGTACACTGCTGAGAGTGAATTTTACTATATGCAAATTAAAAATAAATTTTAACAATATGTCTAAGAATAACTGCATGAAGAAGATACAAAACAATTTTTTTCAAAGCTAAAGGATGTATAAACTTGGAGTTTATTCACACATTGGCAATTTTTGTCTTGTTGAGCTAGAGGGCACTTTAGAAAGTGCTAAATAGATTTTCATTTTTCTAAACCAGGTTTAATTTTATTTTTCATATATTTAACCAAATTTTAAATGCTTAAAATAATTGGGGTCCAGCTTTGCCACAATGGGCTAAGCCATCAGTTTTGATGCCAGCACCCATGTCAGAGTGCCAGTTTGAGTCTGGCTGCTCTGCCTATGATCTAGCATCCTGCTAATGTAGCTGAGAAGGCAGCAGAAGATGAGCCAAGTACTTGGGACTCTCATGTGGGAGTCCAGGATGAAGTTCATGGTTCCTGGCTTCAACCTCGCCCAGACCTGGCTATTGTAATCATTTGGGGGAAGGAACCAGTGGATGGAAGATCAGTCTCTTCTTTCTCTCTCCCTACCCCCTCCCTTGTTTTTTCTTTCTCTAGTACTCTGGCTTCCAAATAAATAAATAAAATAATTATGTGCATAGTATATTTGGAATGTGGTGGCAGTATAGAATTTTTTTCTTACTCTGTTGTTTCCTTATTTGAGTGGGTAAATCTTACGGTTTTGCTGTGAGCTTATATCAGGAGAGTTGGTAAAGTCTTTGAGCCTCATTGTCTCCAGCAGCCTGTTCTGTTGTCCTGTGGGCAGACCTGTGCCTCTGGCTGAACTGTGTGGGTTGGGTTTGTTTCAGACACAGTGAAGCCTACACGTGGACTAACCCCACCTGCTGCGTGCACAACATCATCGTGGGGAAGCTCTGGATCGAGCAGTACGGCAGCGTGGAGATCACAAACCACAAGTAAGGCACAGCAGGCGCCCTGCCCTCTCCTCCCGGTTCCATCAGTGTGTCTTCAGAGCAGCCAGGGGAGGGGCGGTGCAGTGGGAGAGGAGAACACAGGAGTTACTGAGAAGAGTTGGGTTCTTGTGAATGTGGCCGGGTCTCGTTCTTCGTGAGCCTTGCGTGCCTTTTCCGTGTGGTGTGGTGAGCCCAGTAGTGAGCAAGAACTGGCAGGGGTGGCTTCTGTATGGGGCCTAGCACATGTGGACAGGCAGCGGCCCCCGCTGCTAGCGAGGTATTCTCCGTGTTGCTCTGGAGTGGTAATCTGAACCTAGCATTTCCTTCATAGGACTGGGGACAAATGTGTGCTGAATTTTAAGCCGTGTGGCCTTTTCGGTAAGGAACTGCACAAAGTTGAAGGCTACATTCAAGATAAAAGGTAAAGTTTCCACTGTGAGTGTCGAATAGGATGGGTGGTATCCACTAAACAAAGCAGCCATAAAAGTCTGCATCGCAGCCTGGGAAACCAGCCTTCCTTTGGTTTGTAAGAGTTAGAGAGGGAAAGACAATAGAGACAGAGAGATCTTCCAATCACTGTTTCATTCCACAGATGGCCACAACAGCCGGGGCTGGGCTTGGCTTAAACCAGGAAATTGGAACTCCATCCAGATCTCCTGTGTGGGTGGCAGAGGGCCAAGCACTTGAGCCATCTTCTGCTTTCCCAGACCATTAGTTGGGAGCTGGATCAAGGTGGAGTAACAGGGTCTCCAACCGGCACTCATAGGGGATGGCGGCATCGCAGGCAGGAGCTTAACCTGCTATGCCACAGTGCTGGCCCCAGGAAACTAGCATTCTAATAAGATGGAAAATATTCCTTCTACAAAGAAATATCTGCTTCTTTAAAGAATCTGATCCATAAAAGTCATTGCAGTAATAATCATTTGCAGAAAAACACTGGTTTAATCACTGGCTAAACTTGCATCTCTTTTGACAGCAAGAAGAAGCTGTGTGCCCTCTATGGGAAGTGGACCGAGTGTCTGTACAGTGTTGATCCTGCCACTTTTGAGGCTTGCAAAAAAAATGAAAAGAAAAACATGGAAGAGAAGAAGAGCAGCAAACAGGTGAATGTCCTGGCGGTGGTATCTGGAGAAGCTGCTGGACTCCTGCTTTGTGCTGCCCCTGTGGGAGGCAGCCGGCTGTGGCTTCCAGTGCGACCTTCCCTTGTTCCTGGTGCCAATGCCTGTAGTTCGTGCATCTGTTACGTGCGCAGAGAGCTGCCTTGCTAGCAAGTGTTAGACATAATCTTGTACGGCGTAGGGATGTGTGCGGTCATGCACGGGGCTTTGATTAAATCCACATAGCTTCGGAAAGCTGGAGGTCCTCTTGATGTGAGACTCACCTCCTTTCCCTCCGGTTTATGGGTAGTAGAAGTTGAAATCCTCTGGATAGCTAACGTTTCTTCCAAAGGCAGCACTGGTTTCATTGCCTTGTTCCTATCACAGGCAAGGCCGTTGGTATGAAAGCAGTCATCCCTGGGCTGCTGGCCTCTTCCTGCACTGCCTCTGTGTGGGACGGTGACCGTCCCCCGGGAGGCACACAGCTGCTTGTCATGTGGAAATGCCAAGAGCTGGGCAAGGCCTCTCTAGTAGAGGACAGATTCCTTCCAGGAAGTAGCACCGTGGTTAAGAGCACATGGCTCAGCATCCTGTCTGCTGCAAGCTCAGGCAGACGTGTGAGGGCCGTGGTTTGTAACAGGGCTCCCAGCAGCAGCTGTGTGTTCACTGAGTTAACAAATGGAGGGGCCTCAGAACTGTGCCTGCCGGAGCCCTCGGGGTGACCGAGTGGCTTTGAGCCCCTTCTGGCCGCAGGCTCCCACGCCTCCCTCCCACCCAGCAGTCGCCTCAGTCCTGGGCTCTTCTGGTGTGTTGTGTGCTCACTGAGGGTTCGGAAGCCCAGGCGGCCCTCAGACTTGGAAGGTGGGCGTGTTAGCGATGGTCCTGGCAGCCAGGGTGAGCGCGGGCCTCGCCTGAGGGGTCTGTTGAACACCGGAGCACGCCATCTCCCGCGGCGTGGGCACTTTCCTTCCTGTTCATAAGCCTCAGCTGTACCTGCCCGTTCTCTGTCCTCCTTCCATCCCAGTCTCCGCCCGCTCTTCCTGCATTCTGTTTTCTGTAACTGTGAGGAAACCAGGACTGGAAAGGAACTGTCCCAGGATCCTGGCACCTGTGACACAAACTTCTCGGCCATAGCTCCTGTCAACAGGAGGCAGCTTGGCAAAGATAAGGTCACCAGCACACATTGGCTTCCACTGGTCTCTTCAACTGTGTGTTCACTGCACGTGTCTCAACCAGTCATTCTCTGTGTGTTTACTGTGTCACTTAGGAATATTACTTAACCTTCCAAAGCCTTGAATTCTGTACGTAGAAGACCGTGGTAATAGCATCCCCTCATAGGTTTATTACATACGTAGGGCCCCTAGCATGGCTGCGGCCCGTGGAGAGAGCAGGTAGCCAAAGAAAGTGGCAGTTTCCTTTTTAGAGCAACACCTTCTTCAGTTCTCTTTGTATCAGATTGCTTCACAGTCCCTGCTGGTTTTGTCAGTGATCCGTTTGACGGACGGTCCCAGGGGTGACTGGAACCTGTTTTTGCTGGCCCTGCAGCAGGTGGCTTGTTGGGTCAGGCAGTTCCTGCCCATGCAGGAGATTCAGCAGTCTCTCGGGAAGTAGGCGGGTGAGCTGTGTTGCCTTTGAAAGAAGAGACAGAAGCTTTAAAAGCTTGGGATGACGGTAAAGGTGGTGATGCTGCTTTAACTGCACACAGCGCTAACAACGCAGTCCCTACAGCTTGTGAGACTCAGGGCACTCGCGCAGTCGCTCCAGGACTTACTGAGGGACAGGTCCAGAGGTAGGAACGAGCGAGTCGTGGTGATCCAGTCCCTGTTGTTTCCCTCCTGCTGTGCAGAAGATGGTGGTTACTTTACAGTTTCTAAGTGTGTGTGTGTGTGTGTGTGTGTGTGTCTGTGTCTGCTCGCACGCTGTTAAAGTGCCCTGCTCTGCCTGAACTGTGACCGTGTCTTGGCTCCTCTAGCTGAGTACCTCCGAGGAGTCGGATGAAATGCCAATGCCGGACTCAGAAAGCGTGTTTGTCATTCCTGGGAGTGTCCTCCTCTGGCGAATAGCCCCGCGGCCTCCTAATTCAGCCCAGGTGAGACGTCCTCTTCATGCTTCGCTCTGACGGTTTCTCGGCACCTGCAGGGCCCGCCCAGGCAGTGCTGACAGAGGCAGGCTGTGCCCCACTTGTCTTTGCCCGCCCCCGGATCCTGTGTGCCACTCTCCCTTCTCACCCTGCGACCCAGCGTGTCCGTGCTGCCCGTCCCTCCTGGCCCCTGGCTGGGAAGGTGTGTTGGGTGGGACTTTGTTGGGGGTCTGAGTAGCTGCTTAGGGTAAGAGTGGCCCTCGGTAAACACAAGACGATGCACGCCTGTTCGGAGCAAGTCCTCCAGACTCAGCCACGGAGATTTTCAATGAAGAAAAAGTTTATTTCCTTTCTAGTTCTACTTAAAGTTGATAGTAACCGGGGTGGTGGTTCTGGGAGTCCTGTTTTGGTGATTTCTTTGAGATGAACAGCCCCAGATTGGAGGAAGCCAGCTGGGTGTGTGATGTGAGAAAGGCTGACTGTCCCTGCCCCGGAAGGGAGAGGGAGTGATGCGCCAAGATCTCCCCTCTGCTCTCAGGGCTCTTTGACGCTGTGCCTCGGGGTGCGTTAACTTGATCCTGTTGCTTTGCAGATGTATAACTTCACTAGCTTTGCAATGGTTCTGAATGAAGTGGACAAGGAAATGGAGAGTGTGATTCCTAAGACGGACTGCAGGCTACGGCCTGATATCAGAGCCATGGAAAATGGAGAAATAGGTAATTCTTCTGATGGTGCTTCCCATGAGCGTGCTCTCCTGAGGGGAGGGTGGCTGCTTTTATGCCTGGTGATGGGTAGCATCGCTGGGGCACTGGCCTTTTTTTTTTTTTTAAACTTTTATTTAATGAATATAAATTTCCAAAGTACGGCTTATGGATTACAATGGCTTCCCCCCCATAACATCCCTCCCACCCGCAACCCTCCCCTTTCCCACTCCCTCTCCCCTTCCATTCACATCAAGATTCATTTTTGATTCTCTTTATATACAGAAGATCAGTTTAGCATACATTAAGTAAAGATTTCAACAGTTTGCTCCCACACAGAAACATAAAGTGAAAAATAATAGATGATTTTTTAAATGATGATGAAATCAGATCAGATCTATTGTCATGTTTAATCCCAGCGAGAGTCAAGTTGGGAGTTGATAATTTTTTTTTTTTTTTTTTTACAGAGGGCACTGGCCTTTTAAGTCTCTTAGGGATTAGTGAATTAAAATTCACCTTAAAATCTGCAATGTTTGTTTACAGTATGGAAATCGGGGAGTAGACCTTATTAGCTTGTATTATTTCATTAACCCTCCCCAGATCTGAAATGTCAAAGGGGGACTTGAGCAGACACTAGCATGTCTGTCCGTCAGCTGTGAACAGTAGCCTGATGAATGACTTCACTGTGCTCCTGTGTCTCAGAATCCGCTTAGCACCCAGCAGCCTCGGAGAAGAGGCTGGCTTCCCCCTCTTCAGTTACAGCATCTGTATCTGGAAGTGTGAAACTCCTGCTAACTCAGCAGCCCTCCCAAGGGACAGTTTCCCCACACAGGGGGCACATGGCAAATGTCTGCAGGCTCTGGGTGTCACTTAAGGGGACAAGGGCCTCTCAAGGCCAGGGACGCCACCCACTGCACAGCACAGCATCCTGCAGTGGCAAGTCAGCCGGCCGCAGGTGTGCCAGCACCAGGTGCCGCAGCACTGTCCTGGCTAAGCACTGATGCCCATCAGTGAATGCAGCGGCAGTATCTTGGGAAGTATCTGAATTTCTTATGGCCTCTGAGGGAGCTCTCTGAGGTCTCCCTAAAAATTTAGGAAAATTGCAGTTTTTCTACCCAGTTTTTCCTTGAAGCATTTTAACATAATTGTTTGGCCTTAAGGGTAAGCAGGTATGCGTTAGCAAATGCAGAGCTTATTAAGAGTGTAGACTGAGAAGTAAGGTGCCATTCAAGCTGCATCTTGAATGCAGCTCTGCCTCCTGTGTGCCGGGGTGGGTGCTGAGGCTGCCCGTGCTAGCGTTCCAGTGAAACGGAGGTAGTGTAACGTCAAAGCCGTGCTTCTCACATCAGGTTGTGTGCGGTACTGTGCCTCGTGTGCTCTGCACAGAAGATGTTTTTCATCCATGTTTTTATTTTAGATCAAGCCAGTGAAGAAAAAAAACGACTTGAAGAAAAACAAAGAGCAGCCCGCAAGAACAGGTCCAAGTCGGAAGAGGACTGGAAGACAAGGTGCGTGCCTTCCGGGGAGTGGGTGGCTGAACCCACGGGCATGCCGGGACGGCAGAGGGGAAGTCGTAGGGCCAGGACCAGCTCACTGGGGCCAAGTTGTTCTAAGGCCCAAGAGATGTTAACTCCATGGATGTAGTTACAATGGAAGGGTTGCGTGGATGAGGAGGAAAAATGACTTGGGGATTCAGGTTAAAGTGTTTCCCACACCATGATGACAGATGGGCAATCAGTAAGCGCTCTCCCTCCTTTCTGTGGCAAGCCCTGCCCTTCCTTCCTTCAAGAGGCAGAGTAAAATCCAGAGTCCCGGCTTGTGGCGCAGAAAGGCGTTCAGAGCCCCTTGCATGTGAGGGACTCACCTGGCCTCTGCGTGCCACGGACTTCCTGTGGACTGGTGGTGGTAAGGGTGCCCAAGCACAGGGGTCTGCGTGTGCTGGAAATGGGATTTGTATGAAGTCACATCTTGGATTCCATTCTACAACAGAAAGTGCGCAATGGAACTTCTAACTTTTGTGGCCACTTGTTTTGAAATAACAGAACCACATGAAAATAGGAACAGTGTAAAAGCATTTTCTACATGTGCATCACATTAGAAACTGTTGTCCCGTAATTCAAAGTTACATGAGTTTTAGAGACAGCATGTGTATGGTTTTCAAGTGTCCCAATAGATACTGTGTAGCAGCTCTTCTGCATCATAGAGAAAGGGATTATTAGTGCTAGAAATGACCTTTGATATCATTTAGTGCAGTGGGTTTGGGCTTTATTGTTAACATGGGAATATTTTTGTGAGTGAACTAAACTAGTCTGCAAATATAAAGCTTATGCAAACAGAGTGGTTGGATGAGGGGTGAGGGGCAGGGGTGAGGGGCAGGGCCTCGGCCATTCCTGCCATCTCCCACCTGCTCATACTCCAGGTGCCTAGAACTCAGTGGACTCCAGTATGGGAAGACACCAGATGACGGTGTGTTCGCTCAGGGTCGTGCTCCAGGGCACACAGTAGTAAGCTGCAGATTCCTGCTTTCCTCACAGCCACCAACAATGCTTCACTGCCATCCTTTGTAGAAAGGTTTGATAGATTTTATCATCTTCCTAGTCTGTTCTGCAAGGAAACCCTTCTTTTGTAGGATATTTCTAGCCATTTATTTTTATGTCCATGATGTGGGGTGCAGTGTCCTGACCACCAAGCTGAATGCCTGCCCCAGGCATTTTCTCCTAGGTAGAACTCATGAGCCCTTGGAGGAGTCATCCTCAGAAACTTGTCTGTGTGCCAGTTTCTGCACACGAAAGCTGGCACTCCTGCTGGATCCCTTCCCTGGCTCCCAGCTCAGAATGCAGAGTTTTTCAGGCTGGATACCAGGGTCCCCTCCTTAGGAACATGGCTGTGTGTGATTCTCACAGGAACCCAGACTTGAGCAGGCAGTGCAGCAGGACAGAGTGGGAGAACTGGTGAGAGCCCAGGATTCACAGGGGAGCGGGGGAGGAGGAGGAGAAAAAATTAGTGCCATTGTACTACAGTTTGAACATTGTGCAGAATCAAAGGTCGCAAAGTAGTCTTCTTTCCCTCTTCTTTGCTACTGCCCACACTTGTCTAAACGTGTGAAGACTTGATTAGGACTGCATATTTTTGTTGTCGGCAGGGGGAATGAGGGCAGTGGCTGCAGTGAAGTTTCTAGATGTGTCCCCACCCTTGCGTTAGGCCAGTACTCTGGAGGTGCATGTCTCTAACACATGAACTGTCTCCAAGAACAGTCAATCCCCAACGCTTTTGCAAAGATGTTTATTTGCGAACAAGGACATCATACATCTTATCATTGCTCTTATATACACTGGACTGTGCAGTGTATGACTGCAACTATGCCCCTCAATTTTGAATTTTGTAAGAAAACTAATGACACAGGGACCTGCGGGTTTTTTTTTTTTTCTTTGAGAGCTCACACACTCATGCACTTGTATAAGCACACTCCCCAAATGCCCACACAGCCAAGACAAAAGCCAGGAACTCAATCCGGGTCTCCCATCTGATGGCAGGAACCCAAGCACTTGAGCCCTCACTGCTTTGCTGGGAGGCTGAGTCAGGTGCCAGAGCTGGAAATAGAACCCAGGCATGCTTTGGGATGTCAGTATCTTAACCCCTAGGCAAGGCTAAATACCCACTCCTGGCCAGACAGTATTTTTATTATCTTGATTTCGATTTGCTTGCTTCTCTAAAGTATTTGACTTTGCTAAGCATGAAAATGAAAGTAATTTCACTACTTGGACTATTAAAGCCCAAAGAGGTGTTACTATATATATTTCATTGTAAACAAAAATTTTATGATTTTGATTACTGGCTCTTGATGCTTTCTGATGTATCCAAAAATCTGAATGGCTCTTCACACTTGGCTTCTAAATATCTAAGTAGGAAGAAGCCTCAGATGTTAAACAATTTTTTATAATCATTCTAGTGGGCATTTACTATGCAAGGGTACTTCCAAAACTTGTGGAAAATGGAATTAAGGCCATTTTGGTGCAAAAAATTGAACTTATTTCAAAGGTTTTTCATAATACGCATTTTCTACAAACTTTTTGAAGTACCCTGGTATGACCCTACAAGGAATAAGCCTAATATAAAGCCTTATTTGCCACCCCCCACTTCAGAGTTTATGGTGTTGTGCTATTAGGAACATTGACGACTTCACTGGATAGATTTTTTTTTTTTTTTAAGATTTATTTATTTGCTTGAAAGGTAGAGTTACAGAGAGAGAGAGGTCTTCCATCCACTGGTTCACTCCCCAGTTGGCCACAAGGTCTGGAGCTGCGCCAGTCCAAATCCAGGAGCTGGTTGCAGGGGCCCAAACATTTGAGCCATCCTGTACTGCTTTCCCAGGCCATAGCAGAGAGCTGGATCAGAAGTGGAGCAGCTGGGACTCGAACCAGCGCCCATATGGGATGCCAGCACCACAGACTGTGGCCTTACCCACTACACCACAGTGCAGGCCCCACCTTACTCTTTCTTATAGTTTCCAGAAGCAGTTTATTTGGAAAGACTGGCAAAGGCATAGAAACCTGTTTGCAGAAGTGTTACTCTGAAAGCTAAATCATATTTAGAACATGATTAATTTGTTTTTAATATTTTCTTTTACAGAGACAGAGAGGTCTTTCATCCCACTGGTTCAACTTTTCAAATGGCCACAATGGCCAGAAGTGGGCCAGTCAGGAACCAGGAGCTTCTTTCAGGTCTCCCACACAGATGAAGGGGCCCAAGCACTTAGGCTATCCTCTGCTACTTTCCCAGGCCATAAGTAGAGAGCTGGATTGGAAGAACAGCCACAAGCAGAGGCTTAGTCAACTATGCTACAGCACCAGCCCCAACAAATGTAATTTTGAACCTTCTGAGCAAGTAATTTTACATTCCATTACCTAGAGAGAGCTAATGCTGCAGAAAAGATGTTTTTAGAGGTCAAGAAAATGATTAGAGCAGCTCATTCTAGAATTAGAAAAGCCAGATAAAACCTAGGAATCTATAGTAATGTTAGAACTTGAGACTGGAGAGGATAGGGACTAGACTGACGCCAGGAGGTTATGAATATAGCGTATTAGAAAAGTCCAAGTCTATGAAGTCCAGCCTGAGTTTCTCTCAATCTTCCATCCACTGGTTTACTCCCGAGATGGCTACAAAGTCCAGGGCCAGGCTGAAGACAGGAGCTTCTTTTGGGTCTCCCCAAAAGAGTGCATGGGTGCAGGGGCCCAAGTAGTTGGGCCATCTGCTGCTTTCCCAGGTGCATTAGCAGGGAACTGGATGGGAAGTAGGAACTTGAACCAGCACCCATATGGGATGCCAGTATCGCAGGCAGATGCTTTCCCCTGCAAGTTAAAATTTTAACTGCTGACAGATCAGCTCCTCATCTCTGAAATGGAGCTTTAAGACTTTGGGTGGGGGGGGGGGGGGGGGCACCATGGCATAGTGGGGAAAGCTACTGCCTGCATCACCAGCATCCCACATGGGTGCTGGTTGGAGTCCCAGCTTCCCCACTCCTGATCCAGCTCTCTGCCGTGGCCTGGGAAAGCAGTGCAGGATGGTTCAAGTCCTTGGGCTCCTGGCTCTGGACTGCTGCAGCTCTGGCCATTGCAGCCATCTCAGGTGTGAACCAACGAATGGAAGACCTCTCTCTGCTCTCTAACTCTGCTTTTCTAATAAATCAATATTTAAAAAAGTTTAGAGGTTGTTTACTCTCACATATCACCACAGTCTGTAAAAGTTTCCTTATCCTAAATCCTTATTCTTAATTGTTTAAAAGAAAGGTCAGTGGACCAGGGTCCTGAACATTGTTTCTCTCAACTCCTACTTCTGTTGAGTGGTACTTACTGTATTGCTAAATGCTGTGGAAAATCCGCAATCCTCTTGTGTGCTATCGTTACCCCCTTCGGAATATTATTCCAAGTGCTTGCCTCTCTAGAGAGAAGAGCTGAACCATAGCCCCAAATAAATCTCTTCCTTTCTCTTAAACAGGTGGTTCCGCCAAGGTCCAAATCCATACAGTGGAGCCCAAGACTGGATCTACTCCGGCAGCTATTGGGACAGAAACTATTCCAATTTGCCTGACATTTATTAAAGTGGCAGACAAGTCAGGGTGTTTGGCTAATCTACAGATAAGTCTTAAACCTAGGTTTTTAAATTTTTTTCCTGGTTTCTATTCATCTTTTAAAAAAAAAGTCTGCTCATGAGATAACATGCATTTCACCCAACAAAAGTAGGGCACATGGTGATGATGAAAGCCTTAGGAGAGCTGCATAACTTTGCTATCCAAAACAACTTATTTGGAAGACTGTTTTATACAGAGGTGAGAGTGAGTGCTGGAGACCGCGCTTTTTATGGTTGCTGTTGCCATATTTCCTGAAGGTTTATACCCAAATGTGACTTTAGCTTTATGGAGTTCTATAGCAATCCCAAATCAAGTTATTTTGAATATTTTTATGCTGTCATGCTTGAATGTTTTAGATATAACTTTGACGTGTTTAGAATTCTTCTATACAACGTTCATGTGCTCAAATGTAGAGGTGATGTCATTTTGTAAACACTACAATAAGATGGCTTTTGCTCATACTAACCTCTCCATTTTATCCCTTACTGCCTCCAAAAAGAAAAGATGCCCGAAAATTCAGAGTAGGTAATCCTGATAGGAAAATCCTAAACTGGACAAGGTGTTTCATTTACTTATTTTAGTGTTCTGAATTCACTTTTATAATTTCTGAAATCAATGAGTTAAAATGTTTAAATTGTACATGTTTGAATTGAAAATATGTATAAAATCTAGCCATTCACAAAATATTCTAAACATAGGTTGTAGTCATTCCATAATGACAAAGCTTTTTACATGCTTTAGCTTCCAGCGGCAGATGCCCCCCCGAGAAAGTGAGCCGCACTCATGCGTGTGTGTGAGCGTTCAACTGTTATGAAAGGAGGTCTTGTGCATTTCGAGTTGCAAGGTACCTGTGTACTTAAATATGTATGGAGACCGACTGTACAGTAGTTTTGCCCCTTTAATTGGGGTATACTAATCTAATCTTGTAGTATTTATCCATCCAACCCCCAGATTGAGATACTGCTCCCAGGGGCCTTAGGTAGTTGCCAGTAAGTTATTTTAACGCTGTCTTGAAACTAACCAATGTTATGAAATAATCTACCTGATGCTAAATAAAGGCTTTAGAATGTCCACCCAAAGTGTGGTTTCTTAAAACTTCAGATGCACTCATGTTGCCCCTTAAGGACACTTTGGAGTACTCAGGGTAGTATTGAGGTGCCACCACCCCAGGGCTAACCAGGCACTTAGGTACTGGGTGATTCCTCTCTGGTAAGTACAGAAAATGCTGGTGCTTCCTACAGCCTCCTGGGTTTGGTGGTTTGAATACCTCCTTACTTAAAAAATGAGAACCCACCCCGGGTTTTATGCTTGCACGAAGTTTATTGATACATTACACTTGGTGGCAGACTCCACCTTGCAGGTTGACTCAAACGGCGTCATTTTCAGCATCTGTTAGGAATAATATAAACATTGAAACTTTGAAGCTCAGCATCTGAGTGCAAGATCAGTGCTCTTACTTCCCTGTACTTTCCTGCTGAAGACAGTTCTACTCAAAGTCTATTAAGGTATTTTCAGAAGAGTTGTGTTAGAATAACTGTAGTACTTGTGCCTGCCAATGAATGAAATCCAGACTTTTGTCCATCTCAGACCATTTGAAGTAATTCAAGTGGATGTGTCTAACATGTAACTTCTCTCCCTGCTTCCAGTCCATTTTCCACATAGAATCAGACTGAGGTTTTAATCTGGCTCTGTCATTGTGCTTACAACCAACCCCTCTCCACTTTTTTTTTTTTTTTTTTTTTTGGACAGGCAGAGTTAGACAGTGAGAGAGAGACAGAGAGAAAGGTCTTCCTTCCATTGGTTCACCTCCCAGAAGGCCGGGAGCCAGGTGCTTCTTTCCTGGTCTCCCATGCGGGTGCAGGGCCCAAGCACTTGGGCCATCCTCCACTGCCTTCCCGGGCCACAGCTGAGAGCTGGACTGGAAGAGGAGCAGCTGGGACAGAATCCGGAATGCTGGCGCCGCAGGCGGAGGACTAGCCTAGTGAGCTGCAGTGCCGGCCAGCACCTTCATCTTTTGTTACCCTCCTTCCAGCCAGGCTCTCAGCTGCTGCTCATACTCAGGTGTCAGTTTACAGGCGGGCCAGAACACCCACTAGTTTCCCATACAGTACCTTGTTCCTCACCGTTGTCCACACATGCAAGGAGGGACACCAGCTTGGGTGAATCAAATATTTTAAAATGATTAGGAAAGCTAAAATCATTCTATCTAAAGTTAATTCCAGCTGTTTCCAGCTCATCCCCACTCGATATGCCAGCTACATTTCTTTTCCTGTTTTAAAAATCTACCACAGCACTAGACAAAGAACCAGGAACTCAAAGATGATTGGTTCATGTACTGGACACCAAATCCTTGGTGTAACACCCACTATACATTTTTAGTAACCGGTGGTTAAGTTGGAGACAATAACCACATATTAGCTTATATCCCAACTCATTACATATTAGTTCAGTTTAAAAGTCAACAAACAAATGCTGTAAACTCAAGTGTGTTAAGGCCCACATATTATGGTAGGGAAATTTACCTACCAGTTTTAAGTTTCTGTTCTGCGAACATGGGCAGTAGTCACAGTAATTTCTCCAGCAATACCATAACTTCCAAAGGGAGTACGTTTGTCACCAGATCCTGAACCTTTTTTAGCTACATCTTCTACTGGGAAAGCAACAGAAAGAAAAACTGGGCTTTGTGGCCTGGGGACGTCTTTTCCACTCGGAGGAGGACTAGCGTTCTGGGGACTTGGGGTGTGCTTCTGGAATTTTTGATCTGCAGGAACAGCAATGGGTACTTGTACTGCAGCGTATCTCTTCATGGCATCTGACTGTGAAACAACAGCATGTCCAGGAAGAGGTTTCCAATCCTGAGCCTCCTGAACATTGGAACCTACTAAAATAAAAGGTGGGGCACTGGTCGTCTTGCTGTCGTCCATCATCACATAAGTTGGAGAAGTAACTTTCGGTGGATGCTGCAGAAACTGTGGATCCTTAGGATTAGATAAATAGAGGGTTGCTTGGGGGAAAGGCCCAGGTGCAGGTGGCGGTGATGGGCGGCTTTGTTGATTCATATCAGTTAGACAATAAAGGGTCCACATGTTAGAATATGGTGGTGGTTGTCCTGCTTCGCTTGCTGCTATTGCTATAAAAAAAACACAAAATTTGCAGGTATTAAAGGTTTGGTCTCTGTATCAGGCGCTATGCACAGTAATGTCTTTGTAAACCTTTTTATATACAAACAGTCGTAGTAACGTGTGCCATAAAGCATGCTATAGAGAGGACTATGTAAATTATGTCTGGTAACATGAAAAGAGATTCTCTACAGTTGGAAAATGGGAACAATGTAATGGTGACGGCAGATGGCACACACTACCGTTGGAGCAGAAGTAGCAACCTCATTCGAAGCAGCTGTTTCCAGGCACTTGAACCTCAGACATGGCTCCTGTGGTGGCCTCAGAGGAAATGGACAGTTAACAAAGCTTTCAGCTCTACCAAAAAATCAACTTAACAGTATGTTAAGCTACTAAAAAGAACGTTAATCCATCTGTGTAATGTTTTTTCTTTCCTAAGAAAATCAGGCACTAGGCGGTGTCTTGGACCCTGGCCCTGCACAGCACCATTATCCCCCACACATATTCCAGAACTCAGTGCCCCAGAGGGCACTCCTTTTAGGTGAGGTTTGGAATCTAGGTCCTGTGTGACAGTAAAAGGCTGCTCAGTCCCACAGCGTTAAGAACAGAGGCCCAGGAGTGCCCCGTCACTCTGCTTACACAAGGAGTCTGGAGTGCCCAGTGTCACTTGCCTATTGAAGGCAGTGCTGTCTCAGCCAGGTCCTAGGAGAAAAGCTCCCAAGGGGGCCACTCACCCTGTGCACACGGGGCCGTCTCCCTGATGCAGGGAGGAGTTACACTAAACATGATTTAGCGGTGTTTTCAGTAGCTTGAGACACTTTCAACTCCTCTTTCCTCAAAGCTTAGTTTAAAAAGCCCTTAAGCCGGCGCTGCGGCTCACTAGGTTAATCCTCCACCTTGCGGCACCGGCACACCGGGTTCTAGTCCCAGGCACCTCTCTTCCAGGCCAGCTCTCTGCTGTGGCCAGGGAGTGCAGTGGAGGATGGCCCAAGCGCTTGGGCCCTGCACCCCATGGGAGACCAGAAGCACCTGGCTCCTGCCATTGGATCAGCGCGGTGTGGCAGCCATTGGAGGGTGAACCAACAGCAAAGGAAGACCTTTCTCTCTGTTTCTCTCACTGTCCACTCTGCCTGTCAAAAAAAAAAAAAAAAAAAAAAAAAGCCCAGTCTTCAGTGTTGTTTTTTTTTTTTTAATGCAGTTTGATAACTCAATCTGGGTTTTCTTGTTAAATATCTCAAGTGCTGAGAAACTCCATTCTACTGTAACAACAATTAAGTACCTGGAAACAGTGACTTGGTCTGGAAGTGCTGCTTAAGCCACAAGTACAATGCCAGTCCCGCATGCTGCGCTCCCAGCACTGCCCTCTGCGTTCCCGCTGTGCAGAATCCCTGTCACACTGCCAGCCAGAATTTGGTCGTTAGTCTTAACACCTGCTTGGGTAACACTTGTTGATCATTCTAACTGGCCGGAGTCAAGAGTCCCTGCAACAGGAGTGGGGCATCGGCTCCCGCACGTTCCTGGCCTCCCTGAAGAGAGGGGGCCTCTGCAGATAGGGCAGGAGGGTGGGCAGCCGCAACGCCGTAAATGGATGGCGCTGGAGGTCAGTCTGTGGCCCAGGACAGCACTGGTGGTAGGCCAGCTGCCAAGACAGCAGCTTCATCTGGGCACCTGTTGGGGAACTGATGGAAGGAAGCCAGCCATCTGAACTGCACCGAGTATCACGTGCCAGGCTCTGCTTTCGTCGCTGCCAACTCCCTGCTCCCCTGTGTCACAGAACTTGGACTTGACCTTCCCTCTCTCCATACAGCTATGAAGCTGCTCCCTCAGCTGCAGGGAGCCCCCAGGCAGGAATAAACGCTTGCCCCAGCACCCCAAACCTGGTTGTAGGGCTCTGCTGACCCGGCGCGAAAGCAGTCAAACACACCACCATTTCTTTGGCTTTTTAAATGCCACAGCCTACGTAAATGCAGTGCTGTAGTTGAGTTTACATTCACAAGTGAGAAATTTCACACAATACTCCCTAATGACAGTTTTGCCACAGGAATATTCAGATCACATTTTTTGGTACTTAACAGGCTTTTATATATATATATATATTTTTTTTTTTTTTTTTGACAGAGAGAGAAAGGTGTTCCTTCCGTTGGTTCACCCCCCAAATGGCTGCTACAGCTGGAGCTATGCCGATCCGAAGCCAGGAGCCAGGTGCTTCTCCCTGGTCTCCCATGCAGGTGCAGGGGCCCAAGCACTTGGGCCATCCTCCACTGCACTCCCGGGCCACAGCAGAGAGCTGGACTGGAAGAGGAACAACCGGGACTAGAACCCGGAGCCTATTTGACAATAGGCTTTTAACAATATATTTAAAATATGACATGTCCAGGGAGCTGGCACTGTGGCATAGTAGGCTAAGCCTCCGCCTGCAGCACTGGCATCCCATATGGGCACCAGTTCAAGTCCCAGCTGCTCCACCTCCAATCCAGCTCTCTGCTAATGCACCTAGGAAAGCACAGAGGATGGTCCAACTGCTTGGGCCCCTGCACCTGTGTGGGAGACCCAGAAGAAGCTCCTGGCTCCGGGCTTCACATCCACCCAGCTCCGACTGTTGTGGCCACTTGGAGAGTGAACCAGCAGATGGAACACCTTTCTCTTTGTCTCTCCCTTTCTCTAATTCTGCCTCTCAAATAAATAAATTCCTTAAAAAATTATATATATATATATAATATATATATATATATAAAAAGTGTCCAAAACACTAGCACAAAAGTACTGGATGACCAAACTTTGAGGCCGGCCTTTCAGGAGGTTACTTTAAAAACACTCACCTTAGAGTAAAATTTCAAATACAGCAAAGCCTTTAAATGGGTTTGGCATTTAAAAACACTACTGAAAATAAAGACCTTGGCCAAGCTGCATCTAGCCTACCTAGATGATTCCCTGAAATACACGTGCCACCTGAAACGCAATTTGTAGTTGTGTAATATCTAATTCTCTTACCTGGCTTCATCAAACCTGTTCCTCAGGTGAGACTTCCCCTTCTGGTTCCATTTCTGGCTCCGGGAGACCTTCTGGAGCAGGAGGGAAGGGGCCACTAGATGACTTGACAGGTGCACCTGAGCGCTCAGGTCTGCCCTCTGCCCCCCAGGGTGCAGAGTTCTCCCAGGACTCCTGCCCAGTATTGCCAGGGTCTACGGACATCATGTCCACTTCCAGCTGCAGAGATTTCGCGGAGCCTATTCTGATAAAGCTCTCTGCATCCGGGGGTTCTGCAGGTCCCTCGGGCTGACCTCTCAGAGAGGCGTCAGAGAACAGGACTGTGTGTCCCGAGGAGTCGTATTTCTCCTCCTCCAACTGTGCACGTTTGGCAGGCTCTCTAGGCAGGCCTGAGGCTGTCTTGGCTACTACAGGTCTGGGACTAACTGGTGGTGACTGCTCATTTCCTTTAAGACAAGCAACTTGATCGGTAAAAGGAATAACTATTTGTTCTGGTATCTGTTCGATATAAACAACTCCTTCAGTCACAGGCTCATTGTTATATATAGATGATATATGAACAGCTGATGTAATCTCAACATCGGCCTGCAAAGGGACCTCAGGAGCAGGAGGTTCTTGTTCACCCTGCAAGGGGTATGAGGAAGCCGTTGATGGTTCAGCCTTACGGTCGTTAGCTTTAGAACCCAAATCTACCTGCACGGATGTCTGGCTCACAACCTCCACTGTTACCACCTCTCCAGAATACACGAGAGAACTGGTCACCTGGAGCTCTTCAGCAGCCTCCGAGCCCAGTACCTCCTTCGAGATACCAGGCATACTTGTGGCCACATCCACCATTAACACTTCAGACTGATCAGAACGAACAGATGAAACGTTACCTAACATCTGAGCAGCAAACTGAGCTGGGTCAGCTGGCACATAGGCAAACTCTGCTGGCACGGCTGCTGGAGATGGTGACGAGGGTGGGGTGGTGACCTTAGGGGTGGTGGGTTTGGAAGGACCACGCGCTGCTTCAGGCATCTCCTCAGGCTCTGTGAGCTCAGCATGAACTGATGGAAACTGGGTGGTTTTGTTGCTGTACTGCGGTCTAGTTATATTGTCCTCCTCTGTGTCTGTCGATTTTTCCATCCGTGTAGGTTCTTGGGAAACTACAGATGTTCCTTCTCGCTCTTTTAGGCATCCTGGTTTCTTCTCTTGTGTCGCTCCTTCTGACCACTTCTCCACTAAAAACACCAGCCAGATGCATTAATTAGCATTAATTAAAAAAGAGGATTTTAAAGAAAGCAACAGGTTAAACACTCAAATGTCAGTGTCAATAAATCTTTGCTTATTTTCCAACAGCTCTGATGCAATGTGGGTGAAAGTCTTCCTGTGTTTCCAGGACCCTCAGAAGTGACAGTAAATAGTACAGTAAAAAGATGACAATTACATACCACCCTAAGCCATCCATACTGGGGGAGGGATCATAACTAGAAATTAGGAGGTGAGAACCTGCATGGCAAAAGCTCCTGATCCAAAGTTCCACACAAAACCGAGGAAAGGAAGAAATAAGAGAGACAACTTGGACAATAATCTGGTCTCCAGCTGCTGTCATAATAAGTTAACAAAAGAGACTGTCAAATTAATAAAGGCATTGCTCAGTGTAAGAAAGCACATCAAGTTTAGCTTGATGAACTGGCAAACTAGGAGATTATCAGCTTTTTTACATTAGGGAACATAAGTCTCACTTAAAAATGGTGGTCCTGCTGTCAGAGTGGAATCATACGAACCCAGCTCAAGATGATAGGAAAAGGGGGCCGAGTCCAGGCGTGGCCTCTGGAATCCTCAGGTCCGAGGAGACTTCCCTCAGGCTGGGGGGTCACGGGAACTGACCTCCAGGAAGTCCTAAAGCTGGAAAACTGCCGTGAAGTCCCTGTGCTTGGCACCTGGGCACCTGTCCAACCACCTTGGTTGTATCACTCACCGAGTTCTCACGCCTGCCACTGAGGTTTTTCTTAAACTGTTTCATCTCGTAATGCAATCTGCGGGCAAGGCAGCATTTGCTTTCCAAGAGTGCTTTGCTTCTAATCAAGGATTTGTTTGGAGATGGGTTTTCCTATGTTCAGTTGCTTCCCAAAGAACACAGGAAAACCTGATTTCTTTAAACATGATTTAAAATTCAAGTTAAGTGTCTAATTCTGGAACTGACACCAAGTCAAAAGCTCAATACAGAGGAAAGTTCCAAAAAGACCAAAGAAGAAAAATCTGGTACCTCTCTCTACTTAGAACAATAAACTCTTTGTAATCATCTCTTCAGAAAGCCCCCCCGACACAATTTAGCAGAGCCTCTGCCCATGCTACATTCCAGTGCTTGCGCACAGACGTTAGGCCGAGACCTCAGGTAGCTCACATTCAGTAGAGGAGACGACAGGTGTGCAAATATTGCAAGGAAAGAAGTACAAGTATCTGATAATGGTACTGACCAAGATCTTAGGAGCTGACGCCACATAACGGGAAGAATCCGATTTAAACAAGCCTGACCTTGCTTAAGACACAGAAAGGTACAAAAAAAATCACTCCCAGCCAAACCAGAAAAAAGCAGGTAAGCCGTGAAATCATAACTTTGCTTGAGTCCATTAGAGCTGAGGTCGTAAGTGACGTGACTCCCCAGAGGTACCAGCCCCTGCAAGGAGAGAGGGGACAGCAAATGTTCCAGCTGTGGCAGGGCCAGACCAGCTGGTGAGGAGGCATCAAGCTAAACACTTAACCTCCTGGCAAGGACAAACGTGGGCCAGGCTGGGGACTGCACACCTAGGAGGAATTCACGCAAGCAGTTTTCCACAGGCCTCACACGAAAGCTGGGCGTAGGGTAGAAGGCCAGAGAGCGAGATCCCATACCAGCATCAGACAAGCGTCCTACCTCGGCAGCACAAACAGGAAGCCTGGCTCAGGACTGACCCCAGATCTGAGAGTTTAGCTGCCCTGTGGATGAAGGGCAGCAATGCTGAGAAGGCCTCGCCCACCACCAGGTACCCGGGCCACTCCAAACAACAAGGAACTCCTGCCTGCCCACCGGCCCAGCCGGCCACCACCAGGCGAGGGGCGAGAGCAGGAAGAGCCGCCTGTGTGGGGCAGGCTGCGGCACATGGCCCCGCACTGGGATGAGGCCCGTGGTTCAGCGAAGGGAATAAGCGTGACTCCCTGACCAGACCGACCTCCCCACGCCCAGAGCAACCCACTCCAGGCCTCTGGGACACTGTTTCCCTGTAAAGTCCACTTCCAGGAAGCTTCAAGAACCAAAGCAGCCCAGGGCATGGATTTTGGAAACCCCCTGACCATCTGCAGAGGCCAACACTGCTGCCCGCCGCCACCTGGCAGCAGCCATGTGCCCTCTGAAACGCATCTCCCTCCCAGGTCTGTCATAACTAAAATTTTATCTAGGAGGAGAATCATGGGGTTATATCTAAGAAATTAAATACTTTAAAATTTTAAAAAGACATTTTCGTGGGGTCAGCATAGAAAGTTAAGCCACTGCCTCCTACATCTCAGTATCCCAATATGGGCGCCAGTTCAAGTCCTAGCTGCTCCACTTCAGATCCAACTCCCTGCTAGTGTGCCTGGGAAAGCAGTGCTGGGGGGGGAGACCCGGGTGGGAGCTCCAGACTCCTGGCTTTGGTCTGGCCCAGGCCTCCCTGTTGTGGCCATTTAGGGAGTGAATGGAGGATGGAAGATCTTTGTCTCACCTTGTCTGCAACTCTGCCTTTCAAATAAATAAATCTTTTGAAAAAAAATTGAGAGAGAGAGGTCTTCCATCCAATGGTTCACTCTCCAATTGGCCACAACACCTGGAGCTGTGACGAAGCCAGGAGCTTATTCCGGGTCTCCCATGCAGGTACAGGGGCCCAAGGACTTGGGCCATTTTCTTCTGCTTTCCTGGGCCATAGCAGAGAGCCAGATAGGAAGTGGAGCAGCGGGGACTAGAACCGGCGCCCATATGGCATGCCAGCACGCAGGTAGCAGCTTAACCTGCTACACCACAGTGCCAGCCCCAAATAAATAAATCGTTACGTGGAGGGGGCAGTGGCTTTTGGTCTCCGCCTGTTGGTCTCCAAGTCCCCTGTTAACTAACAATCATTCTGGAAAGTAATGTATTTTAATTCTGAAACAGAGTTTAGTCAGGTAATTTACTTTGTTTTCCTTCCTACAGCCACCTGCCTCATCTGCAAACTGGGGGACAGTTCTAACCTCATGGTGTGTTGGTGGCGACTGGATAAATGATACACCTGGAAGTCCTCCATAAACAATTCAAAGAAAAGGGGAAGGAACCAACACCACCCATTGAAAACACATACAGAAACATTTTGAAAACTTGTTATCAAATTACAAATGAAAAGCCTTAACAGGTTTAACTTTGCTTTAAAATTAAATTGGTCATTTCCTCAACTGGGTGGTAAGACCCAGGGTGCCATTTTCTCCCTCCTGTGTAAAAACACATGTAACCGTCTGCACATGCCTGTGGGGCACAGGGACATTTGGTCAGCAGGGACTGCTGTGATAATGGTGGGCCCATGAGACACTGTCTAGCAACATCACAGCCATTGTAGCTTGTGCAAATGCACTGATATTTGTACAAAACTGTCTCATGCTGCATTTAAAGGAATGCATCTTGTTACACAACACAGAGCTGTACAAGCTGGATACTCACCACACACACATATGTATATCTGAGTATATTTTGAAAAGATGTATTTCAATTCAAAAAACTGAGTCTAGATATCTCAAACTTTCACAGTGTATATGAAAATACAAAGCATCAGAGTAACCATTTGGCTGTTTAGAATATGTGAGACAATGTTTGCACATGGATACATACTAGTTACCACCATATACATACATACATACATATATATAAATATAGAGTTCCTTAAAGAATGGCAAATAGCTGCCCTCTGATGTTTTAATAAGTCCAATAATTGCGGGTTGTAACCCCAAGATAATGTTTGTAGCAGGAAACTTTTTGAAATTAAATTGTAAACTAGGTTTGCTATAGGGTTGAGCTGACCTATCTTATGAGGATTAACCCACTATCACTTAAGTGATCTGATTCTACTTAATAACAAACAAACAAAAAAAAACCTGTACATATTCCTACAACTAGGAGCCTGACTATAGGCATTCCCATTTGTACAAGTTCCTTTTTAAGTATAAACAGGTGATTCAAACTGGTAACTTGAAAACATTGAAAAACCTCAATTTTTTGAGGAACCAATAAGATAATGAGGTAAATTTCAAGTATACCACATTTCTCAGAATAGCCAGAACTCGTGGAGATGGGGGAGCCATGGGGCCCATAGTTTGCAGGGGAATTTAAGGAAAAAGGCAAATTCCAGCACTGAAAAGCAAGTTGGAAAGGTATTAGAGATCAGAAGATATGGAGACAGGAGGGAAGACAGGAGGCCACGTACGGCCTGGAGGGGGGAGCTCACAACAGCGCTGGACAGGCTTGGAGGCTGTCTGGCATACAGTCTAAGTTTGGAACAGGATTCCAGCCACTCCGTGTTGAACATCAGGAAGTAAGAAGTAGGGGTCCATCTGTCTTCCTCCTTTCCCTGACCCCCATTCACCAATCATTAGCTGTGCTTCTGTTATGTGACAGACTGAGACATCAACACTGAGTAAGACCTTATGGGGGCCAGCGCTGTGGCACAGCGGGTTAACACCCTGGCCTGAAGAGCCAGCATCTCATATGGGCGCCGGTTCAAGACCTGGCTGCTCTACTTCCAGTCCAGCTCTCTGCTATGGCCTGGGAAAGCAGGAGAGGATGGCCTAGGCCCTTGGGCCTCTGCACCCACGTGGGAGACCCAGAAGCAGCTCCTGGCTTCGGATCGGCACAACACTGGCCGTTGCAGCCAACTGGGAAGTGAACCATCGGATGGAAGACCTCTCTCTGTAAAACTCTAATAAATAAATCTTAAAAAACAAAACTATGAATACCACAGCATGTGAAGGACAGAGGCACACAGCAGGTGACCACATGACAAGGCACTCAGTGCAGTAGGTGCCTTGGCTTTTAGGTCATTTACACAGCTTTGGCAATGAGAAGAGGCCGGTGGGAAAGTGGCTAGTAATTAGGGCTGCAGGAGGTGGAAAGCAAAGACAGTGGCCAGAGTGGGGGGAACCAGCATCCAGGAGTAGCCCAGGTGGCATCTCCCCCGCCACACCCTCTGCCTCGGCTCTCCCACGG